CAAGCAAGCAAGCAAGCAAGCAAGCAAGCAAGCAAGCAAGCAAGCAAGCAATCAATCAATCAATCATGTTTGATGTTCCATTACCAATGAGTGTTGAATTGCCTTCCCATCGTTTACTGTGTATATACACACACGTTGCAGCGTTTGTTACTGTAAAATACTTTATTTTAGCAGGAATTATTTTCGCTGAAAACTTTTTGTATGGAATTTATTTTCACTGATTTTTGTCAAGTTGAATGTAAAATATAGAAAAAAAGGTATATTAGCTGAATTTTATTTTCACTGAATCATTCCTTCAACTGTTTGACGTAGAAACTAATTCTGGCCCAATCGTGGAAATTTTATTTTCCTCTAGAACGAGTTTGTAGAATCTTTCGCGTTGACCACGATTTAGGATTGTTTTTTTTTATAAAATTGGCACCAGTCCAGGCAGAAGTCTACTCATAAATGCAACCACGCGGAAGGTTGTTTCATGGTGCCATGGAACAATAGATCTATGATTGTACATAATAAACAAAGAATTTTGACATGCGATTTATGACCAACTTTCTCAAGTTACTACTACTTCAGAAATTACATTCACAATCACACTTAACATCAAAATAAACATCCAATACTGTAATTTATACCATGCGGTAGGTCATGTTCGTAAATGATACAATTTGAAGCGGATATTACTCAGGCATGCTTCACAACTTGTAATTAATCACCCCTTTTAAAACAACTATATATTGGTAAACAATTTTGACAAGTCAGTTTACTTTGGTGCGTGGTTACGTTCACTTCGTTCGAATCGATTTTCAATATGGCTTCCTGCTTTGCTCTATTGTCGCTGTTTTTGGTCTGTGATGTTGTCAATGTCGTTGTCACGGCCGACGATTTTGATTTTCAATGGGAGCAGTGTGGAGGTAAGTGAAATATACCTAGAAGCCTACTCATAAATTGAAATACCCAGAATTTATTAATTTTGCAATAAATTGTACTCCAAGGCAATATAAGGATATTGACCTAAAAAAAGTTGGGTGTCATTAGCCTTTTTTCGAGAAGTTGATGGTTGTATTTTAGTGGAAAATCGCCATTTTGACACTATTATAACACTTTTACCACAGGTTTGTATGGCAGAGATATTATGCAATATCTCAAAATCTAGCCTGGTGACATAGGCTGAAAAAATCATATATTGTTAATAATGGAGTACTTTTTGTTGTTCTAAATTATTTAAAAAATGTGAGTTTTAAAAAGTGTCAAAAAATGCAATTTTTCTTTAACATTGTGTTCTATGGAATTGTTATTATATTATATTATAGCAATTTTCAAGAAATATTAGGACGCGTTTCTCAAAAAGCATAACTGCAACACACAAAATAATGCTATTTCATTGTACCATGAGACATTAGCTTCATGATTGTACATAATAAACTAATGAACATTGTCATGCGATTTATGAACAATTTTGTTAAAAATTATGACTAGTCTTCTACCTTAACGTGTATTATGTGTATTTTCTGTCTGCGCAGTTGTTCCGACAAAAATTGGCCGAAAATGGTAATATTACAGTTACATTACAAAACGTATGTATGAAAACCATACATGTTGCATACAGTCAGGACGCAACCAACTGTCATAGAGGGCGCTTATTAGACATAAGTCATGTGACAAATTTTAATACATTCCTTGATTTTTGATCGAAAACCTATAGAACAACGTTGCATTTGAGACCTGCACATTAGTTCATCATTTTAAATTATGATTTTTGCCAAAGATTCTAAAATAACACAAAAAGAAAATACCGCTGGAAATTACCACATCACTTCCGCATTTATATAAAAACAGGATTTCGTGCCGTTGGTGGCGCTACTCAAATCTAATAATCGCGCCCAATAACGATCAAAACGCTTGGCTGCGTTCCGGCTGCATAGTGAAATTGGATACACATTTGAAACCGCAATATCCTGAAAAAAATTGCTGATTCATTCACTGTGACTGTTATTTTGTTTTTAAAAGAATCCGACAAAACGATGGGATATCCGAACTAGCTTTCGAACTAGCAACCTAAGTTGAATGCATATTGTCAGCCTGAGGTTTTTAATTCAGTATCGCCATAGGAATAGGGTTTAACGCTGCAGGGAGATCACAATGTCATTGTTTCTATAGAAACAAATTCCTCTAGTTATTTTCTCTATATCATTTCACACTGCAAAATGCAATTAATTTCCGTTCACTGCGAGATCCCGTGTTATACGTGGGAATTACTCGATTTTGCGACAGACTTTCGGCTCGCGCTTTTCACGCATTACGCGACACGTCGAATATTGAACATCCCTAACACCATGGAACTAGTTCCATGCTAACACCGTGCCAATTTTATTCACTTTTCTATTCCGTAATACGAGATATGTACCCTTTTGCGGCACCCTTGCAATAACCTTATTAATATACATCTTCCCGACGTTATACATCTTCCCGACACAATCGCTTTGTGTGTGAAGCAAACGTACCGTATTTGGAATGTGGGTTTCCTAAATGGCAGCGCGCAACTATCCCGTAAAATATCGTACAATGACGACACACAATGACTTATGGTAATAAGGTGACACATTTATAATAATATATCATTTAATTGAACCTTTTAATCATGTAAAATAACCGAACACGAAATTCCATTTAATCTGACTTCCGATATTTAATTTTTGGTAACTGTAGTTTTTTTAATAATTAACAGGGAATTCTATCGAATTTATAGAGCTGTCCATTACACCCATGCCAATCAGGTCAATTCAGGATATTAACATCGCATTTGATGTGGAAGTTGGCCAGTTAGGTCCTGATCTGGAACTGGATATCAGTATAAAAAAAGTGGTTGACCTCGGGTGGTTCGGAAATGCTCGGGTTTCCGTGCCGTGTGTGTTCGATGTCGGATCATGGTAAGTGTCTGTTTTGCTGCGTCATCCAGTGATAAATCGCTTCTATGTCACAAGTCATTGGTTCCCGGCGTCCTTTGCACAAGCCGCATGCGCAATGGCGTTCCTGACAATCTAAAAACAAGTCGTCTGCGCAATTATGTAAGCGAAACGCAGATTGGTGACAGAAGAAACCTTCACTGCGTCGTGTTATTGTCCCTATCTCTCCACGTATGCTGACTTCACAGAAGTGCTTCGTACGCCGTTCATTGTTTTAGTGATATATTTATAGGCGAATAAATAATAAACAAATAGTTACCAAGGTAGTAGAGGTCAATATTCAGTTTTAATGAACCAAAAAAGGAAATAATTGTCCACCCAACTGACGCCTAGCTGCGACCTTAGTAATATCTCATCGCGATCAGTTATTGACCATAGATTTGATTGGTTGATTAAAAATGACGTCAACGAAAACACCGGAAGTTGCGTAATTATGGGTAATTCTTCGCGTTCTGCTCTCGGTTAACTAGGCAATGAAAATAGAATTTGAATAAATCTGAAAGGATAATAAAATATTACTTAGATTCCAGGTTGTGTACGTTAAAGCAGGGGAGTCGTCACCTGCGCATGCGCCACATGGCCATAGCGTGTCATTGTTTACAAACAAGCGTCTACCCATGAGCCTTTGCGTTTTTAGCGTGTGTTGTTATCGTCGCTTGGGACTCAATTCCCGCGCGTGCGCAGGTGCCCTCCCGCTTTAAACTCTCCCCTTTATGGTCAGTCACTCCTCATAAACAACGTGTGTAATGTAATTTCTTTGTTTTTAGGGCAACTACGAGGCCAAGTTCACGTTGACACAGGGAAACGGGGCTGTCGAAGCATGTGTGAAGACAAAGTTTAGCCTCGATTTATAGCTTACCTACTATATCTAATACAGTGTGTACTGCGTAACTACACCAAATAAAAGAGTTTAGAAAAACAAGTACCCGTCCGTGTATTGCCAAATCATAGTGAAATGAAAGGTTTACTGCCCTCAAGGTAACCTTCACGCCACGCATGCGCGAGAGTATGAACCAAGATGGCGACTGTGGGAGTTTCGCAAATGAACGAGCATAAAAAGAAGACGTTACAAATATTTAACAAAATAATGCCCTTTATGACTAGAACGCATAGCAGAATACACAAAAGTCGGTATTTAGTCCACATCGCACGCAGTTTAAAACTCGTATTCGTATTTACTATTAAAGGGCGGCAGTCGTCGTGCCGCGCCCTGTTCGATATGGGACTAATAGCGACGTATACAACGCG